GATAACTGTTTTTATATTTAAAAATAACCCCCCTTTAATTACTCCCATCTCCTCGTCTCAATTGCTGTTAAAGATCTCCTGAACCCTTGAGTGTGCACCATTTGTTTTGCCTGGGTTGAAGGCCAACTGTAATAAAGAGCGCTGCTTCATTTGATCTCATATTCCTCTCCTTATCTAATCCCATTAAGGCTCACGCTTCAGGAAATAGGAGTGCCTCCTGGTAATGAAGAAATACATTAACCGGGCTACAAAATGGCCTCGCTGCACAAAGACTGTTTTCTCCTTCAGCAATCCCTATGACATCTCTCCGTAGATCTCGTTTATTTATGTGGATGGTTTTGTGTCACATTCTCTCTCTATATATATTGCAGATCCATTTCATTACATAGGCCTACATTTAAAAAGTGTTAAGCTACATCCAAATTAAATCAGGATATCAAGGTAAGCAGATGCATTATGCTGTGTAAGCCTTCATTCCAGCTCCTCAAGGCCTTTGAAACCCAGATTTTAAATATGAGGGTTCTTCACTGCCAGCCTCTAACGCTTGGGTGTCCTATTGTTTATGCATGATGGTACAGGATCCACAAAGAGAAGCTACTGCAACCCAGGCTTAAAACAGGAAAACATCTGCCAGTGAACAGGAAGAGAAGTCTCCTGAGGGAGAAAATTAAGGAGGTTCAACATAAAGTCTAAAAAGTCATGTGTTTCCAGATTCTAGATGTATCCATATGCCATCAGACTTTTAAGCAAACAGTTGTTCCAGTTCAGGTTGCTAAAACACCATTCACATATGATCGGAATTGCTGAATATGATCTGCTTCTGACTCCTGCTAATTCTCTTTCTTCTCTGTCCTGGTTAGCGACGGCTGCATCTGCAAACACTTCAGTCACACCTTCTCCAGGGAGTATAACAGAAGGAATCCTTCAAAGCCTGAGCAAAAAGTGAAAATGACTGGATGACTGGAGCGTCAGCAGCACAGGCCTGATGTGGCTGACAGTGGGTGTAAGATGCAGCACGGTTTGTATGAAGGTGTGATATCGTCTAGTTATAGTTTAGGCATCTGTGGCTTTGTTACTTGCCTTCAGGAAACGTGAAGCCGATGAAAATTATTTATGAAGGAAAATTATTTATTAACAGCTTAAGCATTTAATAAAACCTGAGCTGCTAATCATAAATGTTTGGGTTCATCTGCATGTCAGCATGGGATACTCAGTGACAAGAAGAAGTTAATTGTTCGCACTTAAAAGCCAAGGTTTGCTGTGTTCTTTTTCACCGCTCACTGAGGTTTTGCACTAGTGTCCACTGCAATCAGCACGAGCTGAATTCAGTGTGACTGATAGCATGATTGCTCACAAACAGTTAAGTGGACAAATTGATAAGTCATGGACGAGATGAATCACTGACACACGCACATAAATAAAGACTAAGAAGCACAAAGCCAGAGGCAGAGGAAGACCTACAACAGGCGTCGAGGCATTTGAAGAATTCCTATTTGACACAATTGTGTAAGATCATGTCTGGACAGTGTCAGGCAGACGCTGCAGTACTCAATCATCTGTATAAATAAACAACCAAAAGCGGGTAGTGCAAATACAGAACACTGACAAATAAGCTTTAAGAAGTCAGCATGGTGATGGGTTAACGTGCGTCGACGTCATGCACTGCTTACACCAGCACCACCCCTCCCTATTGCCACAGTGGGCACACCCAGGGCCCCACTACCGCCATTCATAGGGCCTCAAACTGGCTTGTTGCCGTCTCTGAAAGGTGGAGCTGTTGAATTAAAATAATGGTTGATAGGTAGAAAGTGCAGGTCCAAAATAAAAAAATAATTAAAACTTCAAAAAGTCCTTGCTTGAGCAAAGTAGTAACCATTACATATATGGATGTTTTTGAAAGGGCCAACACTCCTGCAATAAATTCCTACTGTAGAAGCTCGGTGATCTTTTAGTGTTTTAAACTGGATGACTGAATTGAATGTAGACGTGATGTTATGGAGGAATTTGATACTGATACTCTGCTGCCACCTGTTGGACTGTTGAACACCAACCCAAAAATATGTACCGTCTCTGAAATAGAAGAAGTTACTGATTTGAAGTGAGATCACTACACTACATGATTGACAACATCAACAGTGCTCCTGTACTCTACCTCATGTCATTTTTTAAAACCATGTCCATAACTCACATCAGGCAGTCGACAATGATCACCCATCAAATATCCAAATTTATTAACAAGAAAAAGGGGAATCTGAGAAGAAAAATACATTAATTTTAGATTCACTTCTTTGCGGTTTCCTCCTCCTTTGACAAGTTCTTCATGATCTCTTCTTTCTTGGCAAGGAGACGCTCTTCTCTGCGTTTACGGGCTTCCTTTGTCTTTGAGCGGCGAGCTTCAGCCTGGTCACTGGGTGGGGTAAAGGGAGGTGGAGACAGAAGAAAATTAAATCTGACAACACAGTGAATTAATGGAAAACATTTCATTATGCATGGACTTCTACAGAATAACCAAAAGCTTAAAATGGTTTTAGCTAAGGCAGAAATTATTATATAAATAAATGAATGAAAAAAAAAACAAAAGCGCTACTTACGCTAGAAGCTTCTTGCGAGCCTTATCTGCCTTCAGTTTGTGGATGTGCTCCATCAGGATGCGTTTGTTTTTGAAGACATTACCCTTTGCCTTCAGATAGAGACTGTGGTACCTGGAAGAAACAGAAAATGCCTCAGTGTCTCAAAGCAAGATGCCTCTTCCTGAAACTGGAATTAAATCTGGCTTACTCACCAGCAATGCGCGCCAAAATTCACACTTACATGTGCCTGTCAATTTTCTTAGACTCCCTGTAGCGACGGAGGAGACGGCGGAGGATTCTCATGCGCCGCATCCATGACAACTTCTCTGGCATACGAGCATTGGCTGTACCCTTTCTCTTACCTGGACAAGAGAAAAATAAATCCACTATAAAAAAATAAAATGGCACTGTGTCTAAAGTTCATATCTTAACTACCAAACTACTGCCATTTGCAGGATTCAATTAATTCCTCAAAAACCTGCACACAGACAACAACAACCTACATAATGCTACCTTATGATTCAGTGTAGAATCTGTGAAAGCAAATTAAAGTGATGTTTTAAGAAATATGGAAAAGGAAAGGGACATCACTTGTAAATCAATTACCCACCATAGCCCATATGACGTCCCTTGCGGCGTGCCAAGGTGTTCTTGCGGCAGCGCGCGCGGGAATGAACAGTTACAGGTTTTCTGATAATCAGTCCATCCTTCACCAGTTTTCGGATCTGCTGGCCTTTGGTAAAAATACAATGCAATAAAACATGTTGGCCTATGGGGACCAGACCACACACACATTTACAGAGAGAGAACGTTCTGATGCAAAGTGAACGACTCACGAGAATTTGCGTTGGCAATCTCATTGGTTTCATTTGGGTCCAGCCACACTTTCTTCTTGCCACAGCGCAAGACGCTGGACGCCAAGCGCTTCTGGAGCCTGAGCATGCTGGAAAAACCAAGGTACATTTTGCAGGATGTGAGATACTTTATAGTGCCAGGAAGCCTTTCAGATTCACATTCTTTGAACTTAAAATTTTTAGAAACTCGCATTACAGTAAGTAGTAGTATATCATTTTATTTACATCTTCATTACATAATATGCATCACTCTCAGCATTGGAGGTCTATGTAGTTTTGTTTTGACTGAAATTCTCAATCCACAGCAAAATACTACTTTAGGCATGATCCAGGTTTCTATTTGTCCTTAAAACTATCATAATTTTATAGCTAAATACACGTTCATAAATTTACATGTCACATGTAACGTTATTTAATTGGCACTGCCTGGTTTACAGTAAAGGAACAAAAAAAACAAACATACAAAACACAAAAGTATTCCCATAATTCCCAATTCAAGGTAAACGACTGCCACAAATCTTTATTCTTGTATTATTGCCAACTGGCCGCCTGGCATTTAATTAACAATCACACCCACATGCCTAAGTGCTGTTAGGCATGTTACCGGTGATATCTTGTGAAAAAGGTCGTCACTTCACATTTGCAGTTGTTATGCTACATCCTATTTTTAAAGCACATTGGCCAGTTTCAAGAACGAACGAAAGGGCTCACCGACACGCAGGAAAACAGCACCTCACAAATATTATTTTTAATTATTACAGCTAACTTAGTTTGTTTAATTTTAATGACATTATTGGTTGTTTGTTCGACAAGTATTGACAAACTCACTAAAATACAGTACTGCTGCCAGCTGATTCGCCGCCGCTAAGATCCTGTGGTGTTTCACTAACATGTTGTGACATGTCAGTTAACTTAGCTCTCCAACATAGTCCATAAGAGCATGCCTTCTGGTAGAAATAGACGCGTTTCCCCAAAGCAGAACAGAGTCTCACTCCTACATATTGTTTGAACAAACAATTACAAACCTCTATACGTTTTCTGCCTACAATACAAACACATATTTAAATGTCAAATGTCTACCGTACCTCATGGCTGCCGCTGGCTTGATAGAAACGAAGGAAATAGAAAGCCTGAGCCCCTACCATTATACCTATCATCATGGGTGACTCAACTGTGGCAGGATAACAATATCGTGAATCATCTACCAATTGAGTACAGATAGTGGGTATTGAAATGTCGTCTACAAGCGGAATATTTTATGCTATCTCTATAGTTAACTGTGCCTTAGAGGTCACACTGAGTGTAATATTGATCGAGTCCCCCATCATCGCACAGTGGTACGCTCCAATAAAACGTGTTATAAAGATCCGACCACTGGAGGACGCGCTACATCCATGTTTCCAAAACTGTAATTTGTAGTAAAGGTAGTTTTTATGTTAATGTATTTGCTGTGTGCAGTAACTACAGTTGAAACAGTTTTTAATCACAAATAAAACAGGCCTTCAAAATAAAAGCGCTACAACGTGATTGAAACACAGGCAGCCATAGATATAGATATACCTGATATCACAAAAGAAAAACAGTTCGAAACATCATTCCAGTGTCGAAGTTGATATGAGTGAGTAGCAGGAAAAAAATGCAGTATGGTCAGATCAGATTGGCGCAGTGCTGCCCTCTGTTGGCTGCTGAAAGAAAGACACCGCTCGCTGTTCGCCGCTGTACCAAAACAACAGCGCTCCTACCTCCTGTGACACATTTCTGTTTGACAGACCTGTGCCGTCCGGTCTTCTTACTTGTTGTGGGAGACACAAGGGCACTAAAGGACCCAAACAACGGCTGGCTGCAGTTTTGTCGACGACTTAATTTTTGAGATATGAGTCAGCGTAACACAACATTGAAGGTAAGTGGAATTTCGTTCTCGCGAGCCTGGTTAGCGTGCTAGTGCTAGCTCGCATCGCAAACATTGAAGTAAGTTCACTGTTTACTAATGCCGCGCGTGTGGTACTGTCATGGAAACAGTAACGTTGTAATGTTGGCTTATACGACGTCGTTGAACCATGTGGGGCCGGTAAAAGCTAAATCACATTATGGCGAATTTTAGTGGCATAACCTCACGTTAGCCGGTTAACTTTACGTTGACATTGAAGTCAAGTGGACCTTTTGCAGTATGGGGTTTTACGTCTAACCTCGGTTTGCCACGTATGTTCCCGTGACATTAATTAATTTAACATTAACCGCGTGCTCATTAACGTATCGGGCTAAATGGACTCCATGCTAACGTTACTAGGTACGGCGAGTCCGTTAAGCCCTAACGTCAGGTTTGCCTCATGAGGCTCGGCAGCATGCCATGCGATGTGCCGGGAGACGGTCAGAGAAACTGCACAAGTCATCGTTTAATAACGTCACACGAACCTAAAAATTGAGCAATTGGAGCTATTTAACCAGGTATTATGAGGAGGTTGCAGCGTTAGCCAAACAAAACGGCGTTACTTTGTAAGCCGAGCCAGACATCATCAGGCTGCCTGGTTTGTGCCATTGTTGTCTGCACGGCTAGCTCACCATCTGTCACACAGAGACTTCTCCTGTTTGACCTGATTATTGCAGACAGCTCGGAGTGTGTGAGACGGATTAACCTAGTCCAATGTTTATGAACAGGTGTTTTTTTGTTTTTGACGATAAACGGATAAATAAAATGTGATTAATGGGAGATGAGATGATAATATCTTAAAAATGAGTAGTGTTTTTTTGTTCAGCAACGTTGCAATTTGATGAGGAGGAGATTGTGGTTTTGCCATGCTTAGTATGTGTTTCTTAATTGTAAAATTACTAACAGAATAAAATAATCCAAAACATGACCAAATTCGCTGTTTACTTAATATGGCTGTCTGTAAAGATCCAAGATCCATGCCTGCCTGGGCTGATAAATATTGTATGTTGGTGTGTGCTTCCTGGTACATTCAAAGTAGCACTATATATTATCTGAATGTTTATGCTTCTTATATGTGGATATGATTAAGATATTACAAAAGGATGTATTTTTTTCAAGTTGAAGACAAAAATTGACAATATAGCTCCTTTATACATTAGTCAATATATTTACTTGCATGGAAACTTCAATGTTTCATTGTGGATAGCTTCACTTGTTACCTAATATCCACAGCTCCTCATTCTTCAACTTCTTTGTTTTGCTTCCAACAAAGTCACCCCATCGAGTGAAGTACTCTCGGCCATTGACCCTTTTAAAAACCCGGTTTCCCTCATCAGTGTGCCTACCACCTTGTACCATCACAACAGGACAAAATGGCTCAAAGTGCATTCGTTGACTGCTGAAAACTAGTAAGGCAGGAAGGTTTTTGCAAAGAGGCCTGCGTGTCTGCTATCTCCCTCAGTCTTTCACAGAAAGATGGATCTACTCTGTCCCTTAAGTGACACACATCTTTTTCCATGTTTTGTGTGAAAGCTTTCATTCATAAACTGACTCACTAACTCATTTTCTAACTAATGAGAGGCACTGGCTGTGGTTTATTGCTCCATTTGCACTTTGTGTCAGAAAAACACTTCATTGGTAAACATCACTGTTTATCATCCAAATTAGAGGATGTGTTGTTAATGGCTGGTTGCTTCCGTTTGACTTTACTGAACAGCACTTCAGACAACTGTCTTTCAAACAGCGCTGAAATGTTGAGAATGTGGGGACAACAAACCAAGCCAAGCATGTCCCACTGGAGTGACCACCTCATTCACCTGCTCATTTTGTTTTCTCAGACAGAAAACAATTGGGGACAGGCAGACTGGGGCAATGTTTATTGTCTTTGTAGGTATTTGGGGCCCAGATGCTACACACCTACGTTGTAATAAACTGTTAACAAGATAGATGGGTGATGTTTATGTGGTCATTTCAGATCACAAAATGGCTTGAAATTGTATTTCACAGTGTTTTAATCTTCCGAACGTCATCCGAAAATATCAGCCAATTATACAACATTTAAAACAAATAAAGCTTAAAAAACTCTTAAGTGTTTAGATAATATAGTGTCATTTCAGAGAGATATTAACAATGCCTATAGCCTCTCCCTGTATTAGTCCTATTTTGAACTCCATTTCATTTAGTAAATTTCATCCATCATTGTTTTAAGTAGCTGAGGTTGTGCAGTTCAGTACTTTATAAGTACCTTTATTTCGCAATAACCATACTCCAATTGTAGGAGACTTGTAGGTGTTCAGCACACACCCTCTCTGGAAGCATACCAGTATTTAAAATGGCTCACTATCAGAAGTAAACATGTAAAAAATAGACTTAAAAGAATGATTAGATGATATTGGAATGGAGTAAAGTAAAACCAATGTAAATAAATCCAGCCATTTGATTTGCATAATAGACTTTTCTCTTAGCAGGACTGTCACCTGGTTGTTCCCAAAGGTCGTTCAGTCTCAGATGTTTGGGCGTGTAATGCACAACACCTTTTGCTGTGGATTGTTGTCAGTTATTTGAAACACAGTAGACCAGCTCATGAAATGTATCTTAAGTGTCTAGGGACCAATTAAACAATGTAACCCTGACATTACTCAAAAAATCTGACTGGAGCAAATAATTGTTAAGTGAACCCAACTCATACTTTCAGGGTGATGCATCATGTGGAATGGGCCTACTTTTTTTTTTAGTTAGTAGTTTCTTTGACTTTCCTGTTGAAGATCGTGAGATCTGGTTCACGCTCAGTGCACTCAAAATGCTGAGCAGGGGCAGATGTTGCAGCATGTGGAGAGATCGCAAGAGATATGTGTGTGTGTGTGTGTATATATATATATATATATATATATATATTACAGTACCAATATTGTCTTTGTATTCTACAAATATGAAGCAATCCTGTTGTTGCACAATTTATTTTCACTTAGTCTAAAAAGATTAACCTAACATTTCTTTATATTCAAAGAATATATATACTATATATTTATATCTGAGGGAGGCAGTAGCTCAGTCTGTAAGGACTTGACTTTGAACCTGGAGGGTCGCTGGTTTGAGAGTGTGGACTGGTAACATGAGAGGTGCCAGTTCATCTCCTGGACACTGCCAAAGGTGGCCTTGAGCAAGCTTGAACCCCCAACTGCTGGGGTTGTGTGTGAGTGGGATTAATAAAGTATATCTTCTTCTTCTAAGCTAAATATGTATCTGCTACTCTTAAATTCTCTTTATTAATTGAGCACCTTGTTATTTTCACACTGACCTTGTTTAGAATAAGTAGTCTAGCAAGTACAGTAGGAGTTCGAGATTCCAATTCAGTTTTAATCTGCCTTTTTACGTGTCAGTAGTTTCTTTTTAAGATGCCCATGTGTGTAAGGGCAGAAAATTGTTTTCTTCTTACACTTATCATCTTTTATGCAAGTACCTATAAGAGTTATTTATTATGTCTTATATATTGTTTTAAATCTTTAAACTGTTCCATCTTTATTATTGTTCTTCTTATTCCAGTCTGTCCACATGTGTGGGGTTTAGGTCAGGGATGTTGGGTTGTTGATTGTTTTCCTCACTAGCTGTTCTTCTCCTTCCTTGACTGGGACCAGTTAGACTTTCAGACATTTGCAAATAGTCCCTCAATGTGGACTATTTGAAGTATGATCTGACCAACTTGTGGTCCCACACAAAAAATTTATTAAAATATTGTCTAACGTAAGGTAAATTAAAATATAACCTTATGATACCTCTATGTCTTTACAGCTTGCCAGCTAGTGGTGTGTGATCTGGAGGGAGAGGAAAGGACAGCAGAGAAAATGGAGGTGTCAGATGGCTTGTTGCTGCAGGTCAACAATGGAGAACAGTGGTGTAACCGCTGGAAACATCCCAATGATGACTCGGTGAGCCACACACGGAGATCAATGATTTCATCTTTGTTATGCTGTTATACCTTAAAATCTTTTTATATGTGATATTTAGTACCTTTTTAACTTAAATGATTGTTTGCGTGTGGATGGGTTTCAAGGACCGCAGCACCAGCCCCTCAGTCCTGCGCTGTGTTGCCAGCACGTGGAAGGAGGGCCTGCTGAACAGAAAGAGGCCCTTCGTTGGCCGTTGCTGTCACTCTTGTACACCACAGAGCTGGGTAAGTTACACCACAGGTAGTTAAATGTCATCATTAGTCAGGTCCAGGGTGTTATTTGTTATAATTTAAATGCTTATAACTAAAAAGAAAAGTAGCAGTATGCAGTATACAGCACCTGCCAAAACGATTTAACATGCATGTTGGTCTCGTCATCTCATAACTGCCTGATTTGCAAATGTCTGTCTGTCCCCACAATATTTACATGATCAGAGTGAAAGTCTAACTTGTTTTGTTTTTTTAAAGATGCTACAGCAACTGGCAATATTTGTTGCCTAGGGCGTAGAATGCCTTGGGATAGGGTATTTTAAACACATTTCCTTCAAAACCATGTGTGAAACACAACTTAAAGTTGCTGCAAAGGGAGTAAGTTTGCCTGCAGCAGTGGTGACAAGACAATGATTTGAGATGAACCAATGAAATGGCAACAGAAAGACAAGTTCTTCCAGCACAGGCTTAAGAACTACTGTATAAATAACAAGCAAAATCAGATCAGACTGAGTTTGTGTAACATTTAGGTTGGTGTGACACAGTATCTCAAGATGACACTAGTGGCTCCAGCTTGTTCAGCTCTTTAACGATTTCTTATCTGGAATCCAGTCTGCATTGCTTGCAAAAATGTTTTTATCATCACTGTCTCTAAGGCTCGTAGTAGGATAAAGGTTATCTTGACCGTTCAAATCCATATCTTCTTCTTCACAATAACCATAAACCTTTTTGTTTGTGTCCCAGGAGAGACTTTTCAACCCCAGTATTCCATCTCTGGGACTGCGCAACGTCATCTACATCAATGAGACCCACACTAGGTAAAGAAAGTGAAATCTACTCTATTATGGTATCCCTTCCACTAGGGCTGAACTATTAATTGTTTTCAAATCGAAATTGCAATTTGAAAGAACGCAATTAGCTAATCGTGAAGACGGCGATTAAAATGTAGGTTAATCATGCAGCGCATCTGACCCGTTTTAAGCAGTCATGCAGTTAAAAATTCATTCCATTTTGTCGTTGTGTGACCGATCTGCTCGCCAATCACAAGCGGCATGCTTCTCCTATGGAGTGGGCACAGGGCGTGTACATTTTACAATAAACAAAACTGGAGGAAAAGGTGGGATTATGGCGTAGACCGAACCGACACAAGGCAGCGGCTGTGCCATGGTTTTGTTCGCCTTAAAAAGTGTTTTGCCTGCCTGATTTTGCTGACTTGTTCAGATTTTGTTAATTTGTTCAGTTGTCCGTGCTTTTTGTGCTTCTACTATGGTTAAGTAGGTTATATTGTTAAATTGTTTTAACTGTGTTTATTGTTGACATACAACCAGGAGTCTGCACAGGGTGTTTTTATTTTGAAAATTGACCGGATTCTTTCCGCTGTTCTGTGTCTGACTTCCTGCCTGGTTCATCTGCTCTGTGCTGCTTGTCGTGGCTTCAGTCAAAAATAGACTAGCAATGAATATTGAACTTTTAGAAAATAATAATTGCAAATCGAATCATAATCGCAATATCTGGCAGAAAAATTGCAATTATATTTTTTCCCCAAATTGTTCAGCACTACCTTCCACAGGATTTTGCTCTGTGCAGTTCATTGGCTTCGCAACAGGAACATATTCAACTCCTCAAATTAAATGTTGAGCTCGTTGGCTTTTCACATGGTGCTTTTGCATCTGATGACTCAGAAATTTGATTGCAACAGGACCAGAAACTGTTTTAGTACAGTGAATACAGTGCAGCCCGGTACTAGCCTTCCTAACAACCTGTGTATGATAAATGGCTTTAGGTCAAGAGGACCAAGCTGTAAAACAGTGGAAAGGCAGGCAGAGGAATCATTTAAAGTGTTTTTCTGTGGACATCGGGCACATGCACTGATCTAAGCAGTAAGACACCTTAATACCTCAACCCCAAATAATATAAACATGAGCTTAGTATAAATCTTGTTGTATGCAGTTTGTTTCTGTGAAGTCTAGAATGTGCAATTTGCACAGGTTAATCGAGTTTTTATTCTGCATTGTATTAGAGTGTAGATATAGACATCCCATAGCCAAGATGGGCTGAAGTCAATTTGGACAAGTTAGTATTATTAGTTTTGTCTGGACAAGAAAATCAGTCTTGTCCAAGCAGCAATCTCCGGTGCTGAAAAATGAAGCCAACCTAAAATGACAAAAACTGCATTTCATCGAGTGGTAACTTGAGGCTGGCTCCAAAAGCGGGTCAATCCTCATAGCACCATGTTAAAATGCCCAACTTTACAGTAGAAATTAACATGTTTACAGCCTGGTACAAAAAACAGTTTTGGTCTCTGTAGCTAATTTCCCCATTCATTAAAACTGTACATGAGGTTATTTTTTATATAATCCACCTGTTTAAATTATATTAAGGCTTAAAGTTATGTAGATGTATACAGATGTATACCGTCACAGGTGACTAGCCGCTAGGTGGTTTCAGCAACCAGGCGTCATTCGGCCCACAACAGGCAGGTTAGCCAAAGTCAGGCACTACCAAGATGGCGACGGCCGGAGCTGTCCGTGGCCACTTTGAGCTTCACATCGGCTATTTAGAAATCTATAGGGGATGTCACAGACACTACATAAATGTTTTATACTGTCTATGGACTTGTCTCATATATAAGCTCAGCAAGGTGGAGCAGTACTGACCTTTGTTGTTGTTGAGAAAGCTGTGTGTTTATCTGCCACAGCTGATCTCTGGTAAATTAATGGAAAATCAGTCAAATTAGTGCACCACGTGTACAAGGACACCACATATCCGTAACATGCCCGCTCTGCGACACTAGTAGTTCCATGGCGTCCACCATCCCCCCTGAAAAAAATCCTTGGGAAAACACTGTGAAGTATGCCAGTCGGCGCACAGCTTTTGTTTTAACAGTCTGACTGTCTTTTAACACAACAATTAAAATATACCATTTATTGTGTGTGTGACTGTATTTATGAGTGATAGATTTTGATTAAATGTTATTATCTACAGATATGTAAATCACATATTCTATTCAAAATATGTTAATGCATCTTCAGAGCAGCCATGCATACAGTATATTTGTGTACATGTTTCTGTGTGTACATTAGTGTCTGTGTGTGCTCACGCAGACAGCGGGGCTGGCTGGCACGCAGGCTGAGTTATGTGCTGTTTGTCATGGAGAGAGACGTCAACAAGGACATGTTCACCAGGAATGTAGTGGACAATGTGCTCAACAACAGCAGGTAAGATTTAATGTAACGTGAGCCTTTTATTGGAATGTGCCATCACAGTGCAACTGAGCATCATGAGAGTATGTAGTGGCTCCTGCGGGAATAAAACTCCAAACCTGTGCAACATTAGTATTATTAAATAATACAGTCAAGTCAGTTTTATTTATATAGCCTAATATCACAGATCACAAATTTGCCTCCGGGGGGTTTACAATCTGTTCAACATACAACCCCCTCTATCCCTTGACCTTTGATGCAGATGAGGAAACACTCCCTCAAAGAAACCCTTCAAATGGGGGGAGGAAGAAACATCAGGAAAAGCAACAGAGAAGGGATCCCTCTCCAAGGACAGACAGACATGAAATAGATGCCGTGTGTACAGAATAGACCAACATAATAAACAGTATAAATAGTTACAGTATAAATAAGGGAGTGGAAACACTAATGACATGTGGGGATTAAGTGTACAAAAGAGACCAGATTAAGTGAAATTTTGACTGAAGAAATGTAGCACTCAAACCTTTTGAATGATGGCATCCATAGGTTAGATGGTGCAACCTCATGTTTGTGCTATGCTTTTGCCCATCATAGTGTGGAGAGTGCTATTGTGAATGTAGCCACAGATTTGGACACTGCAGCCTGCCAGCCTGGCCAGGAGCACAAAGCTGTCAGTAAAGTGAAGCAGAAAGCCCGGGCCTTCCTTCAGGAGATGGTGGCCAACATTTCCCCAGCTTTTATTAGGTATGTACTGTTTATTAATGTCACCTAAGTTGCTTTTTAGTTTTTGATTGATTGATATTGCATGGCTATTTCATTGTACTGTAGTAATTATGTTACCACTAAAATGGACTCAGCTTAAGTTTTGGTTTCTGTTCCACATTTTCACTTGTATTTTTTGTTCAGGCTGACAGGGTGGGTTCTCCTGAGGCTCTTTAATGGTTTCTTCTGGAGCATCCAGATCCACAAGGGCCAGCTGGAAATGGTCAAGAAAGCTGCTACAGAGGTCAGCAGCAACTGCACACAGAAAGAACATGGATTATGCTGTCACTACATGATCTGATACACATATTTGTGATAGATAAACACATTGTCTTACAGCAATCTAACTTACTCTTGGCTATGTGTTTATTTTTTTGTTTTATTATGTGTTTTTATTATCAGTGCAGTTGTAGATATTGACCATGACAAAACATTTTTGATGGATACATGGTAAATGTATAGTGTATTCACTGGAGAAATTCAATCAAATTAGAAGACACAGAAAGGTTTGGTCTCTCATATCCATTGTCAGTTTTTAAAACTGGAGTCTTGTCCCATCTGCACTGAGAAATCATCTTTTTATTTTAAAATGATATGTGTCTTCTCTTTTCAGCAAAATGTGCCCATGGTCTTCCTCCCTGTTCACAAATCCCACATCGACTACCTGCTCATCACGTTGATCCTCTTCTGTCACAACATCAAAGCCCCACACATTGCTGCTGGAAACAATCTAAGCATTCCTATCCTCAGGTAAAAACCCCACAAAGCCTCATGTCAAGTTTGATCTGGCAATAAGGTATATTTCTGCTCTCTGTAAGTTAAAACACACAAGCTCAGTTTGATATCACAAGAAAGGAAATTAAAGCTGAACTGAAGAGTGAGACTTATGATTGACACTGATTTTTAGATAGAGTATTCTGTAAATAGCTAGGCAGCCAGCCTTATAGTATTTGAGGTTCTACAACTGATCTGCTATGGTACATGTGTGCTTATGATATTGCCCCCAGAAGTATCAACCTAGCTCATCTTTTCTTAAAAAACTGAAGTTATCGAAAATAATGTTATAGACATACATGTATACAACTGACTGGTTCAGCACAAAAGCTAATTAAAATCTATAGGTAAAGAAAGGAATAGGATGCATACTATTCCAAATTGCAGGGAAACCATTATGTGCAGCTGTCAGCAACACTTGAATAATCACAATAATCACATTTAAAAAAAAAAAAAAAAAAAAAAAGAGGAATCATTACAGTACAGTGATACCCCTTAATCACAATGACATCACAATACCCATTATTGCCCTCTAGTAATTACTGGACTATCACAATTTAGAAAATTACATTTGTTGACAACAGTATATTTGATAGTGTTGGTGCAGACCAACTAAAAAGGATAAGCACACCACTGCTGCCATGTATAAAGTTTAGTGTGGCAGCCGATTGATCATTATTGATTATTTGTTTTCAGCACCCTTATCCGTAAACTTGGAGGATTCTTCATACGAAGGAGAATGGAGGAGACGGGGGATGGGAAGAAAGACATTTTGTACAGATCACTGTTACATGCAGTAAGTCCCAAGAGTCTATTTATCTTCTACGGTAAAGGCTGGTTTAACACATTGTTCCTAAATAGAGAGTGTGTGTGTGTGTGTGTGTGTGTGTGTGTGTGTGTGTTTTCCTTAGCATGATTTATTATCTAACTGCAGGTTGTCTTCATGCTTTTCTGTTCTGTGTGCTCTTTTCATTCCCAAGTGATGGAGAGTTAAATGCCTTGGTTACATAATGTTAGGCCATCTTTTTCTTTTTCTAGTCTTCATTTTCAGGTATACTGTACAATAAGTCTACAGCTCAATTTAACGTGTTATAGCATTTTACCCGTTGTTATCCTGTAGTAGTGTCTAAGTAACTTCTGTAAACGTCTGCTGTAAAAGTAAGGAGGTATTTGGCTGAGATATGCTGCTGTTCTTGACTGTACTGACCAAATCCAACCCATACTTAGACAGATTATCATTAATGGCATAGTATCACATGAAGAGTAGTAATGTAACCTGATGGTTTATTATTAAAATTGTAAAATTTAAAAAATCTGTCAAAAAATCAATCATGTAAAATTGTGAACATAATAATGTTAGTGATGGATTGTTTTGCTTTTCAAATATCACAAAAAGTGTCTGTAAAATGGTTGACATACTGTTTGTGAGCCTTTTTTATGCAGTGTAAGTCAATGTAAGATGTTATTGCATTGGTAAATCATTTAGGTCTTTCCAGCTGTGACGCTGGTTGGAATTTCTTTTCACCCTGACGTGTGCAATTTGCATCACAAGAAAGTCACTGGTGCAAAAGCTTTTTTAATAGACTTTGACTGACTGAGAAATTAGAAGATGATTAAAACTGGAATCGGAAGCTTTTGTTCAGCTCTAGTATTTGGATAATGTGCCTCACCAAGCTTCTACTAATTAAGAAAACTGGAAGAAGAAGTAATGTGAATGGCTACTAATGTTAATATTTATGCTTTGTCATCATAAGCTACTTGTAGCGTGAAGGCTCTAAATGAGCTTTCTACAAAATAGTTCTGCTGCTTAGTGGATTTACCTAATTTTTACCAGTCTATCAGAGTTGAAAATTGCTGTTAATTTGTATTTTTGGAGTTTGTGTAAGAAAGTTAAGACTAATGAAGCAACAAGGGCTGTGTATTCTACCCCTAAAATAAGATTATCAGCTGAACATATGAGAAACTGTTGGAAATGATGATCTACATTTTATCACCTATATTTTACCACACATCCCACTAAACGGAGTATACAAATTTGCCACCATAACTGTGGAAAGTGCACCATGTAATACTTTAATTTGGTATAAAATAAGATTTCAATCTGATATGCCTGTGTTGCTCACATAAATTGTAACTTTCTGAAGTCCTTCACAGGCAGAAGTACAAGCATAAAAAAGCCATATGCTGTTCTAATTTGCTGCTCCTGTGAAAGCCGAACCTGAGTCTCTGTCCTTTTCACAGCTTACTCTAAATGCCACAGCGAGAGTCCATTTCGGGACAAAGCTCCTCTTCTTAGAAGTGTCTACATAGTGAGACACAGCTGTGCACTGTACATATGGTGCTTAGATGGATACCGTTACACAACATGGCTGCCTTGGCACATGCCCAGTTCCCTGCTGTGTGTTTGGGGGTCAGACTGTTAGTGACCACCATTCATTTTAACTTGTATTCAGGCTGTATGTACAGCAGCTGCATAGGCTTCACTTTACTTGACTTCCACCTTGTAATGGAGTCAGTGTTGTATTTTAGAATGTCAAAGACTTTCCCGCAAATTGCATTTTCATCAAAAGTGTTGTGTGATTTACACACAGTGTTTGCACATTTGTCATTAATTTTATCACACTATTCTCACATGAACATTTACTCTGTTTCACCAACCTTCCTTCAGTATACCGAGGAGTTGTTGCGTCAGCAACAGTTTTTGGAGGTCTACCTGGAGGGTACCCGCTCCCGCAGCGGTAAGCCGTCCACAGCGCGTGCAGGCATGCTGTCCATCGTGGTAGACACACTGTGCACTGGGTCCATCCCAGACGTACTAGTGGTCCCAGTTGGCATCTCTTATGATCGTATTATTGAGGGCAACTACAATAGCGAGCAGCTGGTAAGTGCTTGAATGATGTCTGTTGTTTGTGTATACCTTTACAAAGTCTTCCTCATTAAAAAAATCAGGGAAGTGAGAAAAGGTTTAGTTTATTAGTAGGTTAGATAACTTTTAATAAATTTTAAGTGTGTATTCATATAGTATATGTTATGATGATTATTATTGTTAACCATCTGGATTCCCCAATTCCACCAGGGTAAACCTAAGAAGAATGAAAGTTTGTGGGGAATTGCATGTGGAGTGTTCAGGATGCTGAGGAAGAACTACGGTTGTGTTCGAGTTGACTTCAACCAGCCCTTCTCCCTAAAGGTGACTGATTGCAGATTTACATCAGCTTTTATACAAATACAGCTGTTATGTCCACATGTGGAGGTTGGTATAGAGACGCTACTATTATAACTGGTGTGACTCTTTAAAGTGCTAAAGGTGTTGCAAAGCTTCAAAAGGAATCTTACAATGAAAGATCGTTGTTTCCTTTGGTTTCTCAAACAAATCATTAATAACTAGGGAAAATACTAAAAGTTTGTAGCCAGCATTCAGTCATCACTGTGGTTTTCTGTCTGAGTTCATATTTGTAATGAACCTTTTGTGCGACAAATGTAGGAGTACCTGGACACCCAGAGAAGTCGCCATATTCCTCCACCAGTGTCCCTGGAACACGCTTTGACACCCACCATTATATCTGCACAGTAAGGGCAAGCACACACTCTCTACTCTGACAATCAGACCGGTACACGTGCATAACCCAGCAGTCTCACAGTCCCACCTGTGATACTATGAACCCTCATGCCACAAACCTGACTTCTCCCTCCTGCTACCTCACAGCAGAGACTGTTATCTGACATCTGAGCACAGCGCTTCAGTTTGCACTGGCAGGGTTCAGTTAAGCGCTGTCCCTTTATAATAAAACTGATACAGTCATTCAGTGTATCATCCCAGCTGTTGCGGAGTCACAAGTTCAGAACACTTGCCAGCAGAGCTGACTGAAAACCCTCTGGACATAAATTGTAAATACTATTTTAAACAGCATGTATAGTAACATTTACATGCTAAACAGTTGTATATCCATCTTTGAAATATATGGCGTGGTTGGCTGAGACATGTAATTACTATGCCGTAAGCCTGGAAATAAACAGAGGAAGTAAAAGTGGGCAGGAACAGCCACAGGTTCAGGAGGGTAATGGTAAATTAATAAACATAATTGGTAAGATATTAACTTTACTTCAGTTCAGATTAGTGTCTATTTTAAACACAAAGTGTTTGCAGAATAAAGATAAAGTGCAGAAAAGTAGGATGCAGGGCAGGCTCAAGCATTTTAGGTATTTAGAGTCATGCCATGTTTTTCTGAGTCTAAGCTATCATCTAAATATTAAAACATTGGTGGTTTAAATCATTTAGTACTTACGTTGGTTTTGCAGCAGCATCTTTTACATATTGTAAACACCTGTTCAACAAGAGAGAAGGAAACAAATTAGTGAAATGAATTTGTGTTTTGTTTGCTTTGACATGTAAACCACCTTATTAAAGGATACATGTCATATAAAGCTGACATAATAAAACAACCATCAACCTGCATGTTTTCATGTTATTATTATTCCAGACCCGAGGCTCAGCTGTTTGAAGGGCAGGAGGGAGAGCAGCTGCCCGACGACATCTTAAGACGGCAACTTATTAACAACCTGGCCAAGCATGTCCTCTTCAGTAAGAAACTCACTCATTCACAGCCAGTAGACTTACTACACCTTAACTATACAATATTTATGTTATCAGCCTCACCAAGAATCTCCAGTTTGTGACCTAAAGCCGCAATGCAACTTAAATCTTTGAATTTTTAGCTTGTTTTTGTTTGCATAGAAAGAAATCAAGGAAGACTGACTTGTGACAGAGGTCACAAGTCACCTGACCGCATTTAGTTAAATATCATATAGCACTGTTTAGCCTATCGCATCTCATTTTTTAAAGATACTGGAGCACATATTTGCTGCTTTATCAGGCATTCCTCTTTTATCTTCTTCTTCACATGCATCTCCTTTTCATCCTTCGTTAAAGGTCCACCTGCTTGCTGGAGCTAAGGCAGCACATGTGAAATGCTATCCATCATACTGCCTTTATTAATTGAAATCCAACACAGCACAGCATCAGTCCATCCGCTTCACATCGCTCAGGGCTTTTTGCCCTGGGGTAACACTGCAGAAACCGGTTCTCCCCAGCTCATTCAGCTGCATTCTCCTATGCTAGGCCCATTTGCTTTTTACTCAGCCAATCACAAAGCCTCCAGCTGGATGGCATGTTGTTTTCAGCCAATAGGAGGAAGGGGAGGATAGAGAAGAGAAGAGAAGAGGGGAGGAATGCAGTACCAGTGCCCACACATGTTTTACACTCCTGAACTTGAACTATGCCAAAGATGACCACTAGTAACCCCTTGTCCTAATACATGTGTACACACCAGCATACACACACAGACACACACACACACACACACACTACATTTCTCTGTCTGATGTGTTATCAAGATAATCAACTCTGGAATATTTTTAACCCTGTGTTTGTTCAAAGAAAATGTCTTACCCAGGACAAACCTGGCACACTATATTTTTTTATATGATGTGAATTTATTTTATGACAATATGCAAAATTTTTCAAATATGAGTTACAACATATGGTTAGTCTTACTAAAGAGATAGGAAATTTAGTATAATAAATATATACTCATGTTGCTGTTACTGGCCAATTCCAGAAGTCTTTTTGTCAATCTGTTGCTCATTATATCCTCTTTGTATCTTCCCTCACAGCGGCGAATAAGTCATCAGCAATCATGTCTACTCACATTGTAGCCTGTCTGCTGCTGTACAGACACAGACAGGTAAGTCTTTCATGTGCTCTCTGTAGCCACTATAGAGGGTGCCTCTTTTTTCCCCTCACCCTTCTGTTCCTCAGATTTTCTCTATTAATTCACCTCTTGCCCACCATGCTCCCTCCCATACACCAAGGTGATACAAATGTCACATACCTCTGCATGGCAGTAATGAGTGTCTCTCTCTGTTAGAGATCTCGCTCTTCCTGCATCCCCTCTCTACCCACCTCTGTTCATTAGCAGTGGGCCTCTGCCCTCTGCAGGCACTCTGATGTAACAGTAACAACAGAAAATAATTACTGAAATTGTCTTTCTGTGCAGAGGAATTGGCCAGCGCGTCATAAAACATTCTCAAGAGGACTTGCATTTTGTTGTACTGAATCTTTGTTTTGATTCGTCACCAATTTCTGGACATGATCCATGTTTCCTTTTTTCAAATTGCTTGTATTTTTCTTCCACTTTGCTCCAGGGGGTGGTGTTGTCCAAGCTGGTAGAAGACTTCTTCAACATGAAGGAGGAGATCCTGTCACGGGACTTTGATCTGGGCTTTTCGGGGAACTCAGAGGATGTGGTCATGCGTGCCCTCCACCTCCTTGGAAACTGTGTCAATGTGACCAGCAGTGCAAATCGCAATGGAGAGTTCACCATCTCACCCAGTCAAACTGTACCAGCACTGTTCGAGCTCAACTTCTACAGCAATTGCCTTTTTCACGTCTTCATTTCTGATGCAATTATTGGTATGTTGAGCCAAGAGGTTGCTCTTTTGTTCAGTGCTCACTCTGGTTCATCACTGATCTTTGTAATTTAGCTACAGTCCTCTCCTAAGATTCATACTGTATCTATAAATAAAAGCTTAGCAGGTGGTTTGGATACCTGCTCATGGGTGTGTTGTTGATAAATGTTTAAATTCCATCAGTTAGTTGCTAGTTTTCCCAGGCGTAAATGTTGAAGACATTTCTTTATGATTTGTCTGCAGCCTGCAGCATCCTGTCACTGCAGCGAGAGCTGGTCGCAGAATCCGAGTCCGATCACCAGCCCGGTGGTCCCAGTAGCCTTCCTCTTAGTCAGGAGAGACTCATCCGCAAGGCTGCTGGGCTCTCCCACTTCCTTATCAATGAGGTGGCTGTTGCACCAGTAAGTCCTGCCAATTGTTGCCATCTTTCTAAACTGCACTGAAAACAAAATGAGTCCACCAAGTAGCAAGAGTACATTTTGGAAGGACTTCCCTAAGTTGTCAAACAAAACACCTTCATGTCTCTATTTGCTTTTTTGCAGTATCTGAAGTGAAATTTGAAAATCCTTTATTATGAACAGCCCATATCAATGTTAGATCTTCATCAGACCTAATGTCATCACACATCTATCCTGACTGATTAATTGATGTAAAATGTCTCTAACTGATGATCACAGTAGTTCTGATAGTAGTAGTAGTAGTCTGGACTACTGATCTTAGCCTTCAGAATCTCAGATCAGCTGTTGTGTAAAGTTTGGGTGTTGGTTCTGTTGATGCTGTTGGGTATTGAACCAGATTTTAAATACACCCACTTGTTTTTTTCATGTTTCACATTGTCTCTCCCTCTCCTCGTCTCTGTCCCACAGCCCTGTCAGACTATTTACCAGGTTTTTCACGATGCAGTGACCCGGCTGATCCAGTACGGAGTTCTCTACGTAGCTGAGGTCAGTTTACAGATAGAAACCTCATTGGTGATGGACAAAAATGAAAGTATCCACTGTGACTAATGCTGGAAGTTGACTCGGTGAATATATTGGGAAGCACTGTTAACAATCATTGTAATAGTCGTATGTGTAATATGTGGTGGGACTGTGGTGGCCCAGATTGTCTTATTTGTGTGGTTTTGTTTGTGTGTGTCAGGAGGACCAGGAGGAACTGAGTCCAAGTCCCACAGAGGAACCTTGGCCAAAAAAGTTTCCTGAGCCTCTTTCCTGGAGAAGCGACGAGGAGGATGAGGACAGTGACTTTGGAGAGGAGCAGAGAGATCGCTACCTAAAGGTCTAGTTTAGTATTAAAAGCACAATTTATTAAATCCATCAGAACCACCACCATGGCACCAACTTCTAGAAAAGTTTTCCAGTCGTTCACTTTCTCTCCCTGTTTTTGTCAATCAGGTGAGTCTCACTGCAGAGCACCAGGAGTTCTTTGTCTTCCTACAGCGACTTGTCAGCCCTGTGCTGGAAGCCTACAGCGGGGCTGCGATATTCGTCCACAGTCTGAGTAAGCCCATGGCTGAATCCGAATACACCCAGAGGCTCTTCAGATACCTGCTCACCCGCACAGAAAGAGGAGTGGCTGCTTATGGTAATACTGCAGTATTTCCCCACATTCGGTACACTTGCAGAGGTGTTTCATGTCCATCATCAAGGCTTATTTTTTTGGAATAAAAAAACAAAGGGCACTGTTTAATTATTCCGTATAATATCCTTTGATATTAATGAAAAGTCATTATTGAACCCCAGCAGTTCCTGGAATAAATATGCTCTCAGATTTATGCTGCATGGACACAAGTCCAAGACAAACTTGACTTATACAAAATAGAAGATTAACTAGAGAAATTTCTAAAATAAAAAAGTCAGTCATGAGTGTGTTTAATTAGTATAGTCTTTGTTTGTTTTCTTTCCCAGGTGAAAGTGCAACTCATTACTTGGTTAAGAACACAGTGAGGACATTCAAAGAGCTCGGGGTAAGAGTGTGTTTAAATTGTGTGTTTATTGTAAATTTTAAGTTTATGAACACAATACAGTATAGTGTTAAGATAGGGTTTGGGTGGTGTTAAGATGTTACTCCGGTGTTGTGATGTTCTGTAGGTCCTGAAGGAGAGGAGAGAGAACCGGTTGACAACTCTGGAGCTGAGCAGCACCTTTCTACCTCAGGCCAATCGGAACAAACTCCTGCAGTACATCTTGGGTTTTACCCTGCTGTGACCGAGACACCATTCAGCCCAGCTCAGACCCCAGGCTCCTTCCAATAAAGGGCTTCTACTGGTTACTTCTAAACAATCCCAGGTGCTACTCTGTGGAAAGCTTTACCAGGAAGTGCCTTCACGTAACAGCCGCTAATTGTTAGCCGGAAGAGACTTGAAGCCAGTCTTCCCTTTGTTTTTTTTCTAGTCGATGGATCTCTGTCTTAGAACTGTGCAGCTGATAACACACATGTATCGTTCTTTGGAGAGGTACCTCCTGCGAATCATCCTCTCTTGGTGAACTTTGTGGTGAAGTCATGAGGTTTTAAAATGATTAACATTTTAAACTATCAGAAAAATATACTCAAGCAGGTTAGTAAATAAGAATCACTTTTACAGCAATCCGAACAAAGCAAGCTGCCTTTTCATCTATACAAGCAACAAAATATGCATAGACAATAATGGTAAAGATTACCAACAACAAAGGCATTTTAATGTTAACTCTTTCTGCTCGTTTGTAACACTGCTGTATTCAGTGTGCTCCACTATCATAGTAGGAAACATGTTAAAATGTAGTTTGATGAAAGGCTAATGACTAACAAATTCCTGTACATGGGCCACATGAACAATGTCTCTCATTTATAGTGCATTTAAACATATGCACTCAGGTGTCTTCAAATGTAATAATGTCTGAACATAAGATTGAAAGATTGCTTACGTATCTAAATTGTTATTTACAAATCTTTAATGTCAGAATAGGACAGCGTTGGTCAGTTGCACTGCACATTTACTGGTTTAAGATATAAAAAAATAAGCAGCAAATCAGTTGAACACAAAATGTACCTGATGAAAGTCTGGTGCAGTTGAAGCCTAAAATCACAAGTATCTACAATTAAGTGCATTCAAACCACTAATATCTAAGTGCTTTCAGTTACTCACTTTTTGTCATGAGATTTGATGAAATGTGACTTTGATCTCTGTGTTTGTGCAACACCTTTTTTACTTTTCAATGAATGTCACAGCACAGCGCTTCAAATACTTAATACCAGCCATCACATCCACTTAAGTTCAAACGCAACAAGCTCAGAACCTCTTTGGTCATGCCTTTTCAGGGAAAGCAGAGATTTGGGATAACCACCATTTTTTTTCCTGTATTATAAACATATTGTATAAAAGCCGTTACGGCATCACTGCTGAAAGAGCAATTTTGCTCCAATGGTTGGGCATTCGCACGGCAGAGGAACTCCGCAGTGTGGTAAAAATAAATGGTACATATCCACTTTGTAATCCATCTGAACAAAAGGTCACATCTGTAAAAGTTGGCTATTTGCGAGAACATGATTGTGTCTCTGTTGTACTGTCAACAAACTCTTGAAGAAAGGAGAAGACGTGAGGCGTAGTGATGTTTCTGAAAACGAAATAATAGTCGTTAACTGTCAGGTTTACCTATTCTTTATTTTTCATGTATATAGCAATGCTTCACTTTACATTTTTAGCACCACTGAAACAAAAAATAACTATATCTAAAAAGTACTATAAATACATTTTAAACTACCAGAAAGCTGATCCTGATAGTTTTACATTTTTTTGTTCTAAAATGCAAGTGTCAAAAAAATTTCAAAAATCAGACAGGTTGGGAATAAAAACTTTAGTAACAGAATGTGTTCATCATGAAAAACATACCAAGACTACCAAAGTAAAACATGAATGAAATTAAGACCTGATAGTGAAACCTCACAGCTCAGTCCTTGTATATGTGCAGAAAGTTTACCAGTTTTAATTTTTATTGTGAAATAACACAACAGGACTCAATATTTAGGTCTTGTCTTATGTGTGTAATTCTATATCTGAGGACATTTTGCATTGAACGTGAACATAAATGTACAACATCCATGTTAATGTTGGTGTATGAAAAAGAAAGGGTGTGTTTGGAAAGGGCAGAGTAAGTTTGATGAATTGTCGGCATTATTAGAGGGGACACTAACAGAAATCCCAGATTGATCATGTGAAGACAGTGTGAATGTTAGAAATAGGCATTCTTGATCTGCCAGGGCAATAAAGTAAGTGGGAATCAGGTGTCTGATAATACACATTTAAATGAATATACTGAATGACTTGTTGACAGTGTTCTACAACTCGTACAGTCTTACTTAACTCATTTAAATGCCTTTTTCCTCAACAATCAGCTTTATATTTTAAACATGCATATTTTCATGCAGTTTTTCCAAATCTCCGTACAAAATGACGAATGGAAAAGGTTGCTTATTGGACACCCATAGCAAGTTGAAGAAGAGAAAAGTAAGTTATTTAAATGGGAGTGTGATCAGAGTGCCCAAAAAATAGTCCACGCTCAAGTGCAGAGGGAGCATCTTGACATTCAAAGCATTTCTGAGCCCATAATCTTTCAAAGTCCCCACACTGAGAGGGAACCCTCCGCCAAGATAAAACCACTCTATGTACTGTACTGCATGTTTCCTCTGGTCGCCTTTAATCATCGACACTTCAATGTGAATTCTACTTAACCTGAAAATTGTATTTTACAGTCTAAGTGTGTGAATCATGTTGCAGAGAAAGATAATTGTGTAGGCGACAAAGTGAAATTTGTTACCTCTTGAATGTATCTCATCTGTAGCCAGAAAAAAAGGTCAATGTGATATTGTATAATACTCAATTAAGTCAGTACAGATATGGTACAGTTTTTATGAACTGCTCACGGGGATTGTTGAGACTCGTCGCTACTGAAGCTGCATTAATAACATCCCTCTACAACTATGTAACTTTGTAGGTTAAAAAAAGAAGCCTGTATCTGGGGAGCAGGTGCCTTTTTAAAGCACTGCAGTGTTCTTTGGTTGTGTTTTTGTTGTTTTTTTGTGCATGTTAACTGGTTATTTTGTGTGGAAATCCAAAAGAACACTGTAGATTGAAACTTAAAAAAACACAAGCAGAGAACTTGTGGTTACTATATGAAAAATCACCAGCTACTAAAAAAAACAAAAAATGTCACCTGTTCTGTTATTGCTTTCTTCGAGCAAAGCACAATTGGCATTATTAGATTTTGTTTTTAAATAAATTAATGATAGATTAACAATGGTCTCTTGCCTGTCTTTTATTTATTTTTGATGGGGTAGTAAATGTGGGTATCAATTATTTATATCTAGATAGAGACAGACATATATCTATATATATATATATATATATATATATATATATATATATATATATATATATAGACAGAGAGAGAGATGTGTGTGTGTGTGTATGTATGTGTGTGTGTGTGTGTATGTATATGTATATATATATATATATATATATAGATGATAATTAATTATATATATATAGATATAGATGATAATTATATATAGATATAGATATAGATGATAATTAATTATATATGTATATATATATATATATATAGACAGAGAGAGATGTGTGTGTGTGTGTGTGTATATATAGAGAGAGAGATGATAATAATATGATTATATATATATATATATATATTACAAAAATATATATATATAATTTTTTTAAATATTCCATTTAGTGAAAGGTGTGTAGATCCATCAAATGAAAATAAAAAGCAAAAAAAAGTTTAGTTTACCTTGGGTACAGTGGGTAGTAGTCCAAATAGATGCTACAAACACCTCTCTGCAATAAGAATCTGAAAGTAAAGTATGAACCACAGTAGAGCTGAAACTACAAGTTGATTAATCATAGACAGAAAATCAATTGGCAACTTCTTCCATCGTTGTTTTAGTCATTTTTAAGCAAAAATACCAAACATTCTCTGGTCATCAACAAGAGTCAGAAGTCAAGGGGTGGACGCTGACGTGTTTTGGCCGGCATGAGGGAGGACAGGAGGAGGATATATGGGGGGCTTGAGAGGAACTGAAGCTTTTGTGACCATGAGGACGACGCAGAAGCGACATGTGTGCGTCCTTATACCAAACAAGCAGCACCTGGACTGTACTGTCAGGGTGAGTGGCCGCAGTGTCCTTTTTATATTATTTAATGTTTGATTCCAGTGCATCCTGTGGAATTGGAGAAATAAGTAGACCTTAGAGTCAATTTGACATTACCTGGGCTTTCTTTCATGGCAACAGATCACATGACACAAATTTTATATAGCTGTTGTTGATGTACCAGTATTACACATTTAAGCATGCTTTAATGTGATCATTTTATATTTTTAAATGTACATATTCGAACAGTTAATTTGAGAATAATTAAACACAGGACAAACTTTGACAAACTTATTTCAACAATACAATAGCATATACAGTACATAAATGATAATAAAATAATGAAAGACAATGTATTGCAAGTTTTACAGAATCTGTTTTCGGGGAGGGATCTCCATCATCTGTCAACTGTCTGATACCCAATAATAAACAAAATGCTGATACCACAAAGCCAAAATAATATGTCAGTGTGAAGCCAAAGCTCACAGGATGGAACGCTGAATGTGCCATGTACTCTCATGTACTTTTTCTTGGTGTGTGTGTGTATGTGTTTTTTAGGTGAGAGCTAGAGGCCACGAGGTGCTGAATAGTGTGTTGAAGCAGCTGGGTGTCAGTGAACTTCAAGTCCTCGGTCTGGCTGTTCTCAGAGGTCAGTCAGTGTCTGCGTGGGAGTTGAAGAGAAAATGTTTTGAATTCATTTATTGCGGGATGCTGCGATTTAGGGAGGCTGCTGGTAATGAAGTGGAGTTAAAGAAAACCCCGGGCACAGATTGGCTGAACAAATTGCCATGTCCTGTATGCTGATTTAATATGTTCAATTTGTTCCTCAGATAATGAATATGTCTTTCTTGATTTGGAGCAAAAACTGAGCAAGTACTTTGGGAAAAGATGGAGCAGAGGATCCTTAGCAGTGAGTTTTTTCCTTTTTACTATTTAAGCTCTGCAGTCTCAGACAATTTACCTTGTTACCCCTAATTTGCAGGTGGCAGTGTTCCTCAGTGAATTCTTGAACTTACATAATGTAATAATGTTTACTTTTATCTCAGGAGTTCTATACAAATTACAATTTGTCCCATTATTGTTCAGGGAAAGACTTATTATCCTAAAACTGAATGCACATCAGGTACATTTTTTTCTGTTTGTTTTAAGCAATATTTTTCTTTGACTCTGATTAAATCTTTATTCTGTATTTCCAGGTCCCATTCATCTTATTTCTGAGAGTGCAGTATTATGTAGAGAGTGGGCGACTACTTATGTAAGTTGATCCCCCATCAGCATCTGTGTCTGAAGAATATTCATCTGTCTGCACATATATAAACCAACACCTTCTAAGAACAATGTCATGGACATTTCCAAAGAGACATGCAAGCACATCCTCTAAAAGCAACAATAATAATTTATTGTGCCTTTTCAGAACAGTCTTAAATTATGCTAAGGCCTTATCTTTTAAGATTACTGCAGAGAGTGGCTCTAAGCTTCTAAGATTCTGTCTGCTACACTGCATTGTTTATATCCCTGCTCTATTGGTACCTTCTTTCTTTATCGTCTTGCTTCTGTATGTTATTGCCTTGCCTTTTCCTTATCACTTAATGTCTGTCTAAACTTGTGTCCACTCTCCCCTCCCCTCAAGACACTAATGCTGTCCGTCAGGCCAGGCCATCCTTAAATAAGAAGTTGTTCTTAAGTGCCCTGGTTAAATAAATATTTAATACAATATATATATATATGGTGGTTTAAGGAGCAGCAAAGTGCAGCAGCTCTACTACGCCGAGCTGAGGCAGAAGGTGCTGCTTTCCCAGAGCTTCCATCAGGAAGCTTTGTTCTTCCAGCTTGCTGCTTCTGCGCTTCAAGCTGAAGTCGGAGATCTGGAGCAGAGAGAGGGGAATGATGGAGAGGAGGAAGGAGAAGAAACAAGACCAGAGAGAAAACACAGACATTACTTTCTTCCTGAAGATTACTTCCCCTCTTGGGTAAAGAAAAAATAAGAAAAGTCTGACCATTTGGACCTAATCTTGGAAATCATAAAAACATATGTATGTGTGTGTGTGTGTGTGTGTGTGTGTGTGTATGTACTGTAACATGCTTGTGTCCTCAGCTGATAAAGCGACGAGGACGAGACTTCCTGCTCCAGCACTGCCCTGTGTTACACTCTGAGCTGAGAGGTGTGTCACGTAGCCAAGCCGTCTTGCAGTTTATAAAAGAGGCCAGCTGCCTGCAGGATGGACCAGTCACCTTCTACAGGATGAGACAGGTCAGTCACACACAGACTCGATGCTACATTAACCAAAGAAAAACCCCAGAATACTGTAACTGTACTCCACAGAAGCTTCTTCAGCCTATGACCATCCATCGAACACAGTATCTCAGAAACGATTGGTGTAAATTTTGGGGGAAACTTGTAGGAATGACACATTTATAATAAGCCCTGTGGTGCATAAAACACTAACATTTGCTCTAATGATTGGCACAGGAAAAGACTATTACAGAGTATTATCTGTTTGGCCTCATCATGGCCCCTCTCGACTCTTTATTTACGAGAATATCACTTTGTCCTGCAACATCTGCTATATGAGCTTCTTCATCTGTTATTGTATGTGCAGGAGAAAAAAGAGAGATGTTCGATTCTTCTTGGTGTGGCATTGAAAGGAGTCCATATATCTCAGGTGGGACAGAATGCATTTTTGGATATACACTTTCATTCTTGAAGGGTTTATAGACTTTCTTAATCAATTTAATCCTGAATTTGCATGTATTAAGAATGTATACTGATATATTTTTCTTAAGGAGGTGGAAGGGAAGCACTGCCAATTGTATGATTTTTCCTGGACGGATATTGACCGCTTCACTTTCCAGGTTGGTCCTAAAGACACGCATATTTAAATAAACTTGCATAATGCCACTTATACAACACCAATTTTTCCTGTAGCACTTCTGTTTGATTATACCGCTGTCTTGCTGTCCAGGGCAGCAAGTTTGAAATTGCTGCCGTGGGCTCCCTGTGCCTCCCTAAGCTGGTGTATTACACTCCGTCAGCCCTCCACTCCAAACACGTCCTGAGGCACCTCAGCGACAATCACCGGTTCCACATCAACACCAGAGATGCAGTCGGCTACATCCAACAGCTGGAAGACATGCAGGGTCAGCAATCTCATGACCTTTCTTTTCTAGAACATGTCTGTGAGTTAGTATAACTCCAATTTTAGTGTCCAGTCAACAAGCCAGTTTGTTTGTCATCACTCGGCACAACTGGTTTTGATTTGTTCCCTTAAATAAGTACTGTAAAGTAATTTAACAGTCTAATATGACTTTTGTCCTGTGAGAACTGATTCTTTACAATGATTTAATGAATATTCTTTTTTAACCAAACTATGTCATTGTTAAAAGCTCATTAAGTCTGTTATTATCATCATCAGCCAAGGCAAAAATTGAATAGTATGGGTATTTTAAAACCAAGTTCTTACATAATCAGAGTCCAAAAATGTGTTTTTCTTTTTCTGTGTCGCTCTGCAGCCTGTCAGTTTTACAAAGAGGCCTACATCTGTGACACAACACGCTTAGCACACAGACTCCAGAACAACAGCCTCACATCCTCCATGTCTGACTGTAGTGTTGCAATTGAAACAACCACAGCCTGGTCCAAAGAGGAGGAGGAGGAGGACGATGACGAGGAGGAGGAGGACGATAAAGTCTCTGGTCAGCTGAAATGAAAAATTTGTTTCACTTAGTACTCCCCATCTTGTATGATATCCTACTAACTGTTTCTTGGAATATACAATAAATGATAATAAAGATAAAAGATAGAAAGATAAAAACATACAGTACAGAGATCTAGAATTACAGCTGTTAAACTTTCATCCACACTCCATTATGTATTGTTAAACGTGCCTTGCTACATTGAGACAAAAAAATGTACAAGCTAATAGGGCAAATCAAGACATGAATAGTGGTATTTGTGGTATTTTTGGCTCGAAATCAAGAGGATACAACGTGTTTCTGCTGACTGTGGCAGAAGTCGAGCTGTGTGTGGACGAACCAGAAGAGTTTTTTGTTGACAACCCAGCTGAGGTCTTGTGGCTGGCTGAGCTGCTCCACGGTGCATCTGTCGATGGACCCTTGGTGTTACCCTCCTCTTACTGGGCAGGTTAGTCCAAAAAAAGATGTATCTAAAATAAGCTTGATCATGTATTTAACATTTCATGTGCGCCACATAATTCCCTGTGCTCTTTCATTATCAGCTGTCACCATGGAGATGAAGCAGGTGAGCACACTGCAGACCTCTCTGATTGAAAATCTCCAGCACATTTAAGATTTCAGTATTTTCACTGATCTTTGTGCAGGTTCTGAGGAGGAGAGCTGATGAAGGGGTTTCTGTGGACTAATGTACAGCCAGAGGGACTCTTTACATGTTCTGCAGCTCAGGATGTTGTGCAACAATTAATGTCACTGCTCTGATGCTCACATTGCTTTTCAAGTTAGTAATCACAGACTTAAGAAATTATGTACCCAATATATAAATCATGCTAATAATTTCTGTATATTTCCAGTGCAACATAAGCTCAAACAAATTTTGTTTACATACTGCATAAAAGTAATTATAAAATAAGTATGTGCTTATTAAATTATAAACTATGTAGGATTATTTACTTTTATTCTCAATATTTTTGTGGGTAAACTAAATAATCTCTCTAACAGAGAAATCAGAATAAATAATAATATTATTATATTATTTACAGACATCAACCACAATCAGGTGTAATATAATCATTTCAGGACAAATATTTTAGTTTTTTTTTCTTTATTTATTGAACTGTCTCAACAAACATATAGACGTATATGTATGTATGTGTGTGTGCGTAAGCAATAAAAATTAAATGTGTTTTTTTTCTTTAAGTGTGAAAGTCTTTATTGACTTGGGATTGTACAGTAACATACAGTTTATACATGCATACAGGAACAAAAGAGTAATTTTAGCGCCTGGGAATTAATTATAACATGTAAATCAGACACACGTACGTCATCCTGTAGTGAGCCAATCAGCGTGACAGCCTGCCACCCAAACACGGAAGTAGCTAAAACGGATGCGAAAGGAAAACTTCAGACCAATCTGTTGTCACATAAATGGAGCTTAAACTTTACTATTCGTGTGAACAGTTAACCCCTCAGAAACATTAGGTCACATTGTTAGCTCTAGATGGCGTTCTCTTGGTTTCGCGTTGCTGTGCCGCTTTTATTTGTGGTTTTATCGGTCGTTGTCGCCATCATTGGACCAACTCCAGGTAAGTTAAGTGGCTTCAATATGATGTAGCTGAATGTGTGAAATGATGGAAAGGGTCGCTGTAAAGGTAGTCTGACGGAAAAACAGTGTATAGTTAGTTTGCGAAACAATTAACGGTTTAATGTTGGCCAACAGCGCCCTCACCTGGCTCAGCTACCTCATGCTCCTTGTGTAACACCGGCTCTTCTCCGCAGCGATGCCGCCTCCTCTGCCCGCCGCGATCGGTGTCTGCTCTTTGGCCGGGGTGGCGCTGGTTTGGAGGGACATACGATCTAAAAAGAAAGGTCACCACCGGACTTTAAGCAGTCTGCTCAGTCAGTATCTGGTGGTGAAGGGAGTGGGCTGGCTGAGCAGGCGGCAGAGAAAGAAACTTGAAGCCGATACTCTCAATGTGAAGCAAGTCCAGGAGGAGACTCTGCTGAAGCGCCTGCAGAAAAACGCAGACACATTTTATGGAAGTCAGTATGACTTCAGCTCAATTAAAGGTAAGAAAACAATAATATGGTGTTAATGAGCATTTTTTAACGTGTGGACATGTGTAACTTAGCCCTGTTGAGGTACTAAAACCTGCTCTGACACACTGATTTGTCCTCTGTCTTGCTGTGTGTTGTAACGTTATGTGTTGTATGACAGCAGGGCCGTAACCAGGATTTTACTGAGCAGCTCCCCCCTCATAAGGTCCCATCACAACTTCCTGAAGACTTGTCTTCAAATCACTTGACGCAAATGCAGAAAATCCAATTTTCACATTTGTGACGCTTAAACAAGGGAATGTTTCATATTTTTACATGGAAAAAATACTTATACTACAACCAGTTAATCAAAACTAGATTTTCTGTCTATCAAGATCTAAGTTTTGTTTCAAATCCCTCTTCACAATGCTATTATTATGATAGAATTCAGGTGGATAAATATAAAGACCTATTTTGCTTAAAAATAACTACGGTGTGTAATTGTAAGATGTAAACTTTTTAGGTTGTTAAAGCTTGCAGTTTCCCTGAGACAAAACCGAGACAGTTTCTGTATCCCTAATGGTAGCTATGGCCGTAAATGACAGCATCACTGCAGAAATAGAAGAATCAATAAAATACTCCTTTATTTTAGTGAACTTTTTCTATATTATTAACAGTATAGTTTGTGGTTTTATCTGCACTCTTCTTTCTTATACAGCTGCCATTCCTGTAGTATACATGATTTATAGTTTTACAATAATGCATGGATTTCTGGTGCCTGGACAATAAGAAAAATACAAAGAAACATGATGCCTTTTGAAATAAAAACCTTATTTGTGTACCTCACTTGTAGTTCCCATTTTATTTCCTTATCAGACTCCAAACTTACATAAATATGACACCTGCAGCTTATTCTTTATTCTTCTCAAAAAGACAACAATAAACAGTATAATTGCAGTAAAACTCAGAAACAGAGGCCTTTAAACTGTTTTCGATTATTTCAGACAGCAATGGCTTCCGAGCACGCCACCCCATCACCACGTATGAGCACTACCGTGAGCTCATTGGACGCGTTGCAGCAGGAGAAGAGAAGGTGATCATCACGGAGAAGCCGCTGATCCTGGCCATGACCTCGGGGACATCAGGACCCAGCGCCATGCTGCTCAGCACCAAGGACACCAACAATGAGTTCTTCATACAGGTGTAGCTTGATGACGATGTCGATGTGTTGGCCCGGTTGTAGCCTGTGCCGTGATAATGTGCATATAAAACTATGTTAATAACAATATTCATTTATGTGTCTCCACCAGGGAGTGACTGTGTGTTTGGATGCCATGCAAAGAGCGTTCCCTGCGACTGACAGCCTCCAGCGCACCACCAAGTTCTTCTACTCACCTACATTTCGCCATTCTGAGGCTGGTATTCCCATTGGACCAAACTCCTCCACACCAGCCTCCTCCCGCCACATGTTGAACCTCTATACAACCCCGGCACCTGCCTTTGAGGTACAATTTACAATATGACCAGCAAGAGTTTCACTTCTTTGTCTTGTTGATGCTGTTCTTGTTCTATAACTTTCATGCAGATTTTATTAATTATCTACCATTTTTGATCAGTTTTTCAATAGATTGTATTGTCATCTGTTGCCCCTTTCAGGTTCCCAGTGAGAAGGACACACTCTACCTGCATCTCCTGTTTGCTCTCAAAGATCCCAGTGTGGGAACACTAGAGTCCAACTTTGCTTCCACAGTCTTCTATGCTTTCAGTGCTTTACAGGTGCAGTATAGCTCACGTCATGATTTATTATACACATAGTGTCTGTAGGTCATGTTAACACACTTTTCTTTTTTGCATCATGCTATTCAATACATTATGTGATTGGAGGAGTAAAAAGCATGAAAATTAAAATGAAAGGAACCAGAAAATACATGTTTTTAATCAAAAATTTACTGTATCTTAAGTCCTTAAAAGTTGTTTGATGTGGAAAAGTACCTTAGTGCTGTGTAAGTCATGCATGTCTGGCCTGAGCCCCACTGGTTCAGGTGTCAGGCTCCCATTGTCCATAAGAAAAGCTCTTCTAATTAGTTTGATGAACTAAGGATTAGAAAAGTAATTTCCCCAGATCTCCTCCCCGTCCCATAGGATCGCTGGCAGGAGCTTGTGGAGGACATTGAACGAGGGAAGGTCAGCAGCGCTCTGGCTCTGGAGCCCGGAGTGAGGTCCAGGCTTGAGGCTCGGATGAAGCCAGACCCAGAGAGGGCCGCTCAGCTCCGGGCCCACTTCCAGGACGGCTTCCGTGGGATCGCCAAGCGCCTGTGGCCTCACCTCCACCTGGTGCTGGCGGTGGACTCGGGCTCCAATCAGATTTATGGGGAAATGTTGAGGGAGAACTACTGCCAGGGAGTGCCTTTCTATTCGCCGTTCTACGCTGCTACTGAAGGTAGGAACCTGCAGGGGAACACATCTGATCCCAGACGCCACCGTGTGAACAACTGCTCTAAATGACAAAGTTCAGGTGGTCGAGTGGCCCAAAGTCTTTTATCACCATTTACAGTATGAAATGAAAATACATTTCGGTGTTACAGCTCCATAAATGCTTTTGTTGTCTTTTGAACAAAGATGTTAACTTTAGGTACTGGTAACATGTTATGTTTCAGTTTTTGTAGAGTAATCAGTAGTAATTGAAGAGTACTTAAGTAAATTAAAGGCAATACCAGTTATAAATGAATCCCAATAAAATGTTTCTGAGGTGCTCCTTTCCAAGTAAGAAACTCATCTATGGTTAGTTGTATTATCTCTAATTTGTATGCATGGGCCCCTGCAGGTCTAATAGGGGTGAACCTGTGGCCTCAGGAGCCAAACAGACGCTACCTGCTATGTCCCCGCTCAATGTTTTGCGAGTTCCTGCCAGAGAGCAGCCTGGAGGAGGAGATGCCTCACACTCTGCTGATGGAGGAGGTGAAGGAGGGACAGAACTATGAGCTTGTTATCACAAACGCTTCAGGACTCTTCAGGTCTGATATAGGCCAATGTTGGTATATTTCTTGTTGTTACTTGTCGCATAAGTGGTCACAGGGTTCGACTTCGACTTTGTCGAATTATAGGCAACATAAAGTGAGAAATTACATTCGATAATTGCTTTGTGTCATCGGCATTGTGATGTGGTTTCACTTGACTGCACTCTTATCAAGATAAAATGAGCAGCGTCTCAGGTCTGACAATGCTATGTAATATCAAGATTCATGCTCAGGCTCCATAATGACAATGGTTTTTGCCGTGTTACAGATATCGCATTGGAGACATTGTGAAAGTAGTTGGATTCCACAACCAGTGTCCCATCATTGAGTTTCAGTACAGGTACATTTTAACACAGTGTTTTGTTTGTTAACATACTGCATATCATCTCACACTGCATACAATGTACTGTATCTAGATTTTAGAAGTATGCAGGATAGCGAAATATTTCTTCCATGCTTCCCTCTGGCTTCTATCAGACGGGGTCAGATGTTGAGCGTACGAGGGGAGAAGGTGTCCGAGACGTTGTTCCTGGATGCTCTGAAGAAAGCCGTTGCTCAGTGGCCAGGAGCTCAGCTGGTCGACTACTGCTGCGCAGAGAGTGGCATAATGGGTATGACGTCTCGCTTGTCCCCCTCACCTCTGAATGGTTAGTCAGGTTCAGTTTGCACTATAACGAATCTTTACTGTGGTGCTGTAGGAGATTCCATAGGTGGCTCAGATCCCCATTACCAGGTCTTCATAGAGCTGAAAGGTGTGAGAAACCTCACAGAAAAACAACGATACAAGGTAAGACAAAGCTAGCTGACAGATGCCATGTTTTTTCTTTATCATGAAGTGAATCTTTATTCTCTTTTCTGTGTGCCACCTCCTGTCCTCCCATCTAGCTGGACATCTGTCTGCAGCAGGACTCCGCTGTCTACAAGTCTTTCCGTATAAAAGGCAGCATCGGACCAATGAGGGTGCAGCTGGTGGCAGAGGGTGCGTTCAAAGAACTTCGCAAGCACATGATGGCCTTCTCGAACACCTCACCCAACACCTTCAAAATGCACCGAGTGCTGCGGAGAAAAGAATACGCCGACTTCCTTCTGGGAAAAACCATTTCCTGAAACCTCCCGTTATGAACAAGGAGACTAAGCTTGTGGACTGTGGTGACAGCTGAC